TACTAGAGCCAAAAAAAAAAAAAAAAAAAAAACCCAAAAGTCTAAACTGACACAGTAAGTTTGTTTTCTGGTGACAGTAAAAATACTCTTTTGTTTTAAATTGCCATACTCTAAATTTTCTTTTTTTTTCAGGGCCAAGAAAGAAGGTATAGCAGTCAAGACATCCAAGTCATCCAAAATATCAATCAATGAATCCAAGACGGCCAGTCCATGCACTTTAGAAACAGAATCCATGCTACTCAATGTAGAGAAGTCATCTGAACCCTCAAGTCCAGAGAAGACATCCACACTATCCAGTACAGAAAAATTAATCAAGCCTTCGAGTCCAGAAATGCCATCGAGACCATCTAGTACAGAAAAGTTAATCAGACCATCAAGTCAAGAAATGCCATCATCTCACCTGGAAAAGTCACATAGAACATGCAGTCTAGAGAAGTCACATAAGCTAACTTGTTCCCATAAGCTAGTCAATCAAGTCAGTTCGTCCTATTCAAATATGGCAGTCAAGTCACCTTGGCCAGCCAGTCTACAATATCCAGTCAAGCCAACTGAGTCATCTTGTCCACCCTGTCCACACAATCAAATTTTGGTACCCACGTCATCTAGTTTGCAGAAATTTGGAACCAGGATGTCCTTTGGACATTCTAACATAAAAACATTAGTTAGCGTAGGTAGGGCAGAAGTGTTATCTAGCCCTCAATCAGTTAAGTCCTGTCAATGCTACCAGGAAAAATGCCTTATGTGCAAAACTACTTCTAAGTCTTTGTCCAATGATATTTCTAAGCCCAAGAAGACAAATGCTCAAAACCCACCTTTTCTATGTGAAATGAAGCCTTTTTCCAAGTCCTTTCATAGGGTAGATTCTAGAGACAATGTAGTCTATGGCAATGCGAGTGACAGTGACAAGATTACATATGACAGTGAGGATGACAGTGATAGGGAGATAATCATTATTTGCAACAGGAAACCCAATGAAGGCACCCCAAATAATTAAGGGCTCAATGAAAATAAAAACCACCTGTGAAGAAGCAAATGTATACCAACTATTTCATCATCTACAGATCACTACAGAGATTAGTCCTGTCCATCTTGGAAGCAATTTATTTGAAAAATATTAATTAAATGCATAACATAGCAAATGATTTTATGGTAATTATCATTGCATTTTAAAGACAGAAGGCTCTTTCGATGTCCCTTACTTAGATCTGGTCACTTGTACGGGAACCATAAACATATACACATACACAAATCTAAAAAGAAATTGTATAACAGGTACCCTGGACTCCCCCTTCCCTTACATTAGCCGTCAATTAAAGCCCCACCCAATTAAGTTTATTTTTTAATGTTTACATATAGTTAGCTGTATGCTTGGTTCTGGCTGAGTTGGGAAAACTCCTGATAGCTATTTCTAATAGCACTGCCTCTTGTGACTGCTACCTAAGGTGAGGCTCCAGCCTCTATCACCCACCCCTAGGGTTCCATGACAGTCTAAGTATTCTAGTTTTCATAACTCTCAAGGCTTTTCATTATTTTTGTTACCCTTCAAAATGGTAAAATGATTTTGCCCTGTTGTACATTCTCAAAAGGTCCCATATGAAGGTCTGATTATCTAACCATTTTCCTTACATGGTACCTTCCCACTCTGAATCAATAGGGATGGAAAGGGGAAGGGAGAACCTTGGAATTATAACTTCCCCACTGATGAGATGTTATCCTTGCCTTCTTCCAGGAGCATGGATGAGAAAAGCAGGTAAAGTCTTAGATTCCCAGCCTATATTCTAGTACAGTGAGGTTAGTCGCCTATAACATCTAGCAGGCATAAGTTAAGTGGCAGTAGCTAGCTTGTACTGCATGTGTACTATTTGTCAGGCATTGTACTAGTGCCTTTATGTTTTGTGGGTCCAAAGGTCACAATCAAGTTTGCTGATTCACTGAAAGGACTCACAAGACTCAATAGCAGGTTATACTCATAGCTAAGCTTTAGTAGAGCAAAAAGAGACAGGCCAAGAACAACAGGAAAAATATATGAATCAGGAGGAATCCAGAGAGGTCAGGCACATGCTTTTGAGTACTTCCCCATCTGGGACCACTTAGGACATGCTTTCTCTAGCAACAAACTAGAGGGGCATGTGCAGAATGTCTCTGTCCAAGAAAGTCTGTTTGAGTCTCTGGGTCTGAGGCTTTTATTAAGAACTGGTCAAATAGGTACATCATGCTACATGACCAGCCATGGCAAGTGAAACTCAGGATCCCAACAATGAAACTAGAAGCATATCATCAGTGTTGACATTTATACAAAGCAATTTTGATAAGCTGATAAGGCATTGTCCATTGCTCCAGGTTTATAAAACATAATCAACAACCATTAACATAAGACATTATGAGAGCCAAATTCCCAGGTGTTGGCCAATAGTCAATCATGGTTCCAGATTCCCTTGAAGACATACAAGGACTAAACAACCAGAGTTGCTGTGTTAACACTTTCTCACACTTCACATATTTTATCAATGCCCAATAGTCCCCCATTATGTGGAGAATTATATGAGTTAACGAAGGCTCTCTAACATATAGTAAGATCACAACTAGTAATTGGTTGAATTGAGATAGTAATCTATGATTAGCTTATGCTCAAACTTTCATTATGCTCTACAGCCTTCTAACTACCAGTTTCTAGGGTACTTGCCCGTTCACGGATTACCCAATCCATTGGTGTGAACAAAATCCCTACTTGACCTTTAAGTAATCTGGCCATTCTCCCAGGCTACCAGGGCATATAAAGATGTATTATGTTCATTCAAATATGACTTCCCCATTGCCTCTGCCTCTAGTGGTGGTCCCCTGGTGGGGTCTGTATCCATCATGAAATTCACAGATGGCACTAAGTAGCTGCTTATGTATAAAAGTGTTAAAAGATGGTATATGCATTTAAAAAGCATTGTAGGAGATTACAGACTTGATTCTCTACTGGCATTACCCTTTTATAAAAGACAATCTATAAAGGGTTAGAATTGTTTTGGGTTAGAAAAGCCTGGTCTTTTTAAAATTCACAAATAGAAGCAAAAGTTCTGATCAAATATTTAAACTATTTACTATGAAAAAAGTTCAAACATATACAAAAGTAGAGCAAGTAGTATAGTGAACACTCATATAAGCATTGCTCAGATTCAGCAATTTATCACTACATGGCTAATCTTGTTTCATTTATATTACCCATTCTTCTCATTTATATCTTTAAAAGACAATGACTTTTAAAATACATAAACATAATACCATTAGCTCATCTAAAAAAATTAATAAAAATTTCTTAATATTTATTATCCAGTCAGTATTCAACTTTCCTCATCCCTCTCCTAATTTGTTTTTGGTTGTTTTGTTCAGATGATGTTGATCAGCATTTGACAGCATCTAAGACTAAGTTTTTTAAAATCAAAATTACAATTTCATGATCTAATCTGGCTTCTTATTGTAGGATGATTTTGGAGTTAATCTGAGCTGTCAGTAGCGTGGAAAATAGGAAAAGTTGAAATTGTATAGTTTTAGTTTAAATTCAACTGATATCTTGGTAGGCGAAGCCAAATAATCTAAGCTCTATTCTCTCTCCCATATGAAGCTAGAGACTTGTAATACTTTAAAAGCTGTGAATATTAATATCTAATAAAAATGACTAACTGCCAGTGACAACTAATGATAATGACATCTTAAGAACAAGTTATCTGCATGACTATGTATGTTCCCTTTTAAACCACAGTTAATTATAGAGTAGGAGTCTACAGAATATTTGAAGCTCTCTCAATATGCAAAATTCTAAGTGCATTAAAGGGGGCTTCACACATAAAACCAGTATAGCATATATAATAAAAATATGTACCATGAGTCAGAGAAGAATTTTGGCGAAAAAAAAATTACCAGTCAAAACTTGCTTGAGCTAATCATTAAAATAATTAAATCCTATCACTCCAATAGATAGTCTTTAGTAATTTTTGGGAATGTCCTGATTTAAGTGAGAGTCCCACATTTCTGGCCTTCTTGTGGCATTGTCTCATCTCTAATGGTACTTTACTCCTTCCTTCTTTCTTGCTCTGTTTCTTTCCCCTCGTTCAGCAAGAGTCAGTGCCATATGCTCAGTCAGCCCATGGCTTCCTTACATTTCAATTCTCCAGAGGCCACTGCAAAGCCAGTTTCAAGCATGATGCTTCCCTCTCAGACTATCCCCACTCTCTTTCTGTTGAATCCACCTTTCTTACACTCATCTCTGAAACTCAAACCTTGCTCCAGGCTATAAGACTGAAATGAATTATATTTTGCTCCTTTTATTCAGTACAGCTCTTTCTAAAAACCCATCACTTAAAAAAAAGTGCCAAAAGGTCAGATTTGAAACATTATTCACATATATTTTTCCAAAAGAAGTTATATAAACAAGGAGTTGAAAGGATGCTTAAAGATCCTCTCTTTTACCCTCCTCGAGGGAAAAGGAGCTATGAAGAGCTAAAAAAAATGCTCATTCAGCAAGAAGAGCACTTGGCACTAGGGTAGAAGAAGTGAGCTGACTGTGGCATAGTGCTGGGGATCACAGATCTTTAAATGGCCACTAAAAAATGTGATACACCAGATATAGGATGTTTATGTTGGTGTCAGGCAGGGACTTATTAAAAGTCTTCAGGTTTATCAGTTTCCAAATTCCTACAGTCCCTGCCTCATGTGTAATCACTAAGAACTAGAAGCAGCAAAGGAAGGGAGATAGAAATAGGAAAATAACTCTGTTGGAGCTTCAGTCAAATATCTCCTAATTGTAACCCATATACAACCCTCAATTATTCCTATGCTGCTGCAACTTTAGAAAACAAGGGTTAAGTATGATTAATTAGTTTTGCAATTATTTATATAATGCATAGAAAGGGCCATCTTTAAAATAAGCAAGGGCTAATTATAGCTTGCATGAAGACCTTTCAGATAGTTTTACTTGTTTAGAATTATCCCTTTATGTGCCTGAATCAAAATAACACATTGAAAAGACTGCTGAAAGAGATAAATAAATTGCCATAAATCTGTCATATATAAGTATTTTACCTTAAAAAACAAAATACAGAAACAATATAGCTATTTTTCTCTGAATAATAGAAATTTGTTAATAAAAAATTCATATATATCTTCTATCATCAATCTCTTCCCTTAGTGACCTATTTTCCTATTTTTAATATTGTATTTAAATGACCAAAACGCAGGTAACTGCAAAGAGGAAAAGAAAAAACAAAGGCTATGGTAATTAATGGCTGGGATATTTAGTCCTGGAAATATGGAGAGTGGACTGAATCTATCATATACAGACTTTCTCTGTAATTTTGCAAAATAAGAAAATCAATGTCAAATTGCATGGCTACAAATTGAAACACAAGAATGTGACTGAGCATCTTACCTTTAATTTCCATATGTTCATCTAAATAAATATAAAGGTGTTCAAAACAAATTAAACAAAATTTTAAATATGATAGGACTACTCACAGATATTATAGATTATTAGCAATAAAGGTAGTCAGCTTCTGAAAGTGATATTTGTTTGAAAAAAGAATATATCACTATTGTGTAAACAAGTCTCATTTGTAAACCTTACTTTTGTTGAAAGAACAATGATGACAGTGAGTGGAATTGTCAAAAATGAAGTTTTCTATGCTGATCTCTTGAGGCTAATATAGGAAACAATATGAACATATCACATAGGCACTTAGAAAACTAAAGCGATGGGTGGTAAGCTATTTCAGGACCCATATGCCAATTGCTAGACCAGTAGATTGTCAGCAAACCAGTCTGGACTATTATACTACTCTAATTCATGTCACTTTCCTTTTGTCATTACTATTACCATATACTAAACAAAAAAGTCTAAAATAGAGATTTGTGATGCTCTAGAGCTTTAAACCACTTTTACGTTGTAGCCAGTCTCCCAAAGAACACCTCCACTATTCATTAACTAGGGTACTGAATGCTGAATTGGAAGAA